AATTGTAATAATATTTCACAATATCTCTTTTTTGATTAAATGTAGCCTTGGTGAGCATAACAGACCTCTTTCAAAAAACATTAAAAAAACATAAAAAAATCTTACTGATCCCAAATTTTTGAATGGTAGTGTAATTTCTTTCTTTCTTTCTTTCTTTCTTTGGTTTGTTTTAAATTACACTGTAAAAATTACCTGTACATTTTACAGTACAATACTGGCAGCAGGGTTGCCATCCAGTTACTGTAATTTTTACAGCTGTAATTTAAGTTACAGCATTAAATTGCTGTACAGTAAATTACTTGAATGTGTGTATGCTATATTTAGAATAGTCTTAAAAGTTGTTAAATCTAGCAACGAAATTGCTAAGTTGGCAACACTGCTGTTAAATCCTATCGTGACTGCATTGCTGCAACCCTGATGCGTGAATCTGGGGTTACGGATATGAATGTAGGGTGAACGTGATTTGATAATGATAATGACCATTATGTTCCAGGATCAACAAGGATGTCGATCGTTGTTGATTCCAATCAACCAATCAGAATTGAGGGATAAGTTTTCAAGAAATGTCAGTTTTAGGCTTACAATCAGTTATAGATGCTTCTACACCCTTGTTATTCACCTATCATTTCTCTCTGATTTTAGGAATTAATAAATTATGGGTAGGTTTAGGGGTAGGGATTGGGTTAGGTCTATATTTTTGGACAGTAATGTTGATCCAGGTTCAACAAAACGTGTTGATCCAGGAACATGTCGCACATGGCAAAATCACGGCGACCACTACTACTACAGTTACCAAACATGAAAAATAAAAAAAAACTGAAATAAGAAGTCACTTACCACAGTTGTAAATCCCTCCTCTTGCTGCTCCCCGAATCTCGACCGTTGAAGATCCCACAATGCCTCTGTAGATTTGAAATTTACAGCAATATACTGTGCATTTGCGTCAAACACCACGTGCCCCCAGAATGCATTGCTGTTCACAGCAAATATGCTGTATTTTTAGAAAAACAGCCCGCTGCTGTAAAATATTGCTGTCATTTTTACAGCAGTTTGTTACAGTGTACGTTTATGCTTAAAAAATGCCCATGGGGTTGGGCAAATAAGCTTCAAAGATGTATACTCTCATAATATTTTGTCTTACATAACTTTGCGTCACAGGTAAATTTGTCTTGTTTTAAAGATTATGTATGTGTGCTCTAGGGGCAAAACACTCATTATTCTCAACTAGGCCTGAGAATAACCTTGTGCAAATTACACACAGACATTAGTGCCGCTCTTGCTCACTGCATGCATCTTTAATCTTACAGTGTGTACCATGTTTTGCACTGCTGATGATCCTTATAGATTTGGATTTAAAAATTTCAAACATTAAAACTGTAAAAATAATCACTATGGAGTTTCATCAGCTTTGACATCACTGAATAAGGCATTAGTTAATATCGCTGCAGTCAGGAGTGAACACAGACAGTGGTAATGTGGCAGCTGAAGTGGAAGAGCGTTCAGGGAGGCATGGAAAATCCCAGTGGTACGAGAAGAAAGGGAGTGTGTCCTCCCTGGGGAGGATGTAGAGAGTGATATCGGCTCCGCTCCCAATTCTTTTCGAGTGCCTTCTGGACTCTCCCACCCCTCTCTCAACACTCAGCATCTTCTGTTTGTATCATAAATGTCAAACAAAAGCCTGTGCTAGGAGTGTCACCACTAACATTATTGTGTTTGTCTTCACCTCCCATCACAGAATGCACAATGTTTAAACAGATAGGACACATCCGGCGAGTATCACACACGCTTGTGTACATATCCTTATGGAGACATCCTGTTGACATTTGTTTTATAATATAATATAATAACTATATAATATAATAAATTATATTAATATAATTTATCATTACATTTTACATTTGTTTATTAATACTTTTTCCAAGGTTATCAAAACATGAACGCAGCCCCAAAATAAACATACATAAACTGACAGCAAGCAATAAATTGTAAATGCAGTAGATGATTGGATATATTTGTTTTAGTACCTGAGTGGCTATGAACCAAAACCTTTTTTCCAACATCTCAAGAGACATCTGTACCCCAATAGCTATGCAGAAAAGAAACACAGACACAAAAATAAGAAAATATAATGATTTTTATATGCAATTAGTATTATAACATATCAAATGAAATACACCAATTAAGAAACATGTTTGTGGAAATGTATATGTGAATAGTTGACAGACATATATATATATATATATTTTTTTTTTTTTTGCTGAAGACCCTGTTCCATTAGACTGGGATATTATCCCAGCATGCATCAGTGGCCGCCCACTCTCACAAGCTTAAACATACAAAATCTCAATACAAACTCTCAGTCCTGATAGCTCATACATTAAACCTGGCATCTCGTTCCTCAACCCTATACCTCATACTTCAGTTTATTAACTTAAACCCAGTACCTCATATATCAAACCTGATATCTAATAACTCAATCTGTACATCCGTGTCCCCCATAAACTGCTGATTTTTACAGAACAAGGTTTTGTTGTTTAAAGACTCTGTGTAATTAGTAGGACAGCTAGAATTTGCAATGAGCTGACGGGTCTGATTAAACTGCAGTAAATTGTTCGTTTGAGTAAAAATCTTTTAACTTCAATAATTCAGAGAGAGTGAGAGACCAGAGTAGGACCATCTATCATACTGAAGCCAATTAATAGACTTGTAAAATAAAGAGCCAGAGAGTGGAAGGCAGTGTTGGTAATAGCTGCTATAGTAGCTGCTACTAATATATAGGTAATAGCAGGGAAGATGGCTAGCAGAGGGGAGACAATCTATTGAATGAATAGACGTGTATTATAAAGCTCTAGACCCAGCAGACATACTGTAACAACACTGGAAGATTACAGTCACCATGTCTCCTCCAGCATCCTAAAGATTTTGACAACACTGGAATGAAGATTACCCAAAAATAGTGATGAGCGAGCTCTCAGACGCATCCCAGCACAGTTAGAAGTGTGAATGACGGAAGACATGTGTCTCCAGCAGAGCAGATAATTTAGTAAATACCCAGTTTTCTGAGCTTCTTTCATTCACTTTTCCACATAAACATCCCACACACAAAAACAAACAATGATGTGATACAGCATGAAATCTCAACCAAACCCTCAGACCGACAACACGGCAAGCAATCAATCCTACTGGAACTGAACAGATTTTACCATTTTATGGTTAAATACAAAACCTTTAATGAGGGAGCAATGGGATGTGAAGGAGAAAAGTAGAGAGTGTGAAATATATGTGGCACTTTCCATGAATAGGCTACAAAAACAGAGCGTGCAATGGTCACACTTTATTTTAAGGTCCAGTTCTCGCTATTAGCTAACTATTAACTACGACTTTTGCCTCAATGAACTCCTAATCATGCTGCTTATTAATAGTTAGTAGTTGTTAAGTTTAGGTATTGGATAGGATTAAGGTGTAATATGGTCATGCAGAATATGTGCTTTATAAGTACTAATAAACAGCAAATAAGCTAGTAATATGCATGCTAATAAGCAGCTAGTTAATGGTGAGAATTGGTCCCTATACTAAAGTGTTACCCATTAAGTCTAAATTATTCAAATTAATTTGATTAATAGAAAATAGACATTTGATAACTAGCTTGCTATATTAATTTTAGATAAAAGTAAACATTTAATCGTTTGAAGTTTGCACAACAAAAAACATGGATTTGTGCCTCTAATGCTTTCAAAATCAAAAATTCATGAGATATAAAAGTGTACCATATTTATGGAATGTACGTCAGGGCATAATAATCAGAGGCAGCGAGGTGTGTGTATTCATGAGTATGTGAATGTGTGCTGTTTCAATTATGTAAAACAATATCTCGTTAATTAAGAATACGATTCTTCTGGTCGTAATAAGCTTCATGTCTTGTCCTCAGCTCATGTGTGTGGGTTACTGAAGTAGAAATGAACTGAGTGTGTGTGAGCACATTGTACTTAATGTATTGTTTTACCTGGTTCACTGATCTGTGCAGTAGATTCTGCTATATTGTATGGTTTTAAGCATAGCTTAATATGCATTTCAAATTCTAAATTATATTCATGTATCCTAAATTATGCTAGTGTAGTTAATATCTATTTGAATATGCCAGGACTGAAGTGCAGGGTGTATGCGATGGCAAACAGAGCAGCACGGTCTTTACATTGCAGATTATCGCGAAGAGCTCAAGTAGCATACGCTAACAGGGAGTTAAAAAAACACGCTCTCAATCCCCCCCACCTCTCTCTCTCTCTGTTTCTTTCCCTCTGTTGCTTAGGTAACATGATGTCAGCGCAGCCCCTACCGACACCTTGAAGACTCACCACCAAAATATGACACTGTCCTCAACGTGAGCTGCACTCACGGAATCATCCATGTACACACCTACATACGTACTTCATACAGAGCTTCTGATAAGGAGAGAAATGGCATGGTAAGGATTTAATGGAGCTGTAGTGCTTTTTCTTGTCAATGTCTGGCTTGTGAAAGCGTGTGGGTGGCACTGAGGTCCTTCTGAAGTACACGGTGTGTTGCAACAGCCTACAACATATAGGAGGCAAACGCTTCTGATGTCGCAGAATGCTTTTCCTCTTATAAATAGCTGCAATGGATGCATTTCTCCTTTTTTGAGGTGCTGGTGCTTCAGCGTGGCCTGCATGCCTCTATGCATTTTTCAGCACACCAGGCAATAGCAGGAATGTTTGTATATGTGGATGACGTTTGGTCTAGTTAGTCCATGTGAACAATGGCCAGTACATGCATGATTACATTCCTGCACTGTTGCTGTTACGATGTCAGCTTGATGACATTATAGAGCGTAAAATGCTATCTATCTATCTATCTATCTATAAAGAATCAGCTGTTTTCTCGACCCCTCCTCTCTCCCCTCATCCCTCACTAATGTTACTATCTTTGAAAAGGCTGGCACACGTTTACACTGCACGCCTCACCACATGCACATATGGAGAAAGCAACACACACACGCACGCACTTACTCACACACATACTCACACAGACACACATGCGCACCAAAGGCTGGCCTGAGGACAGCACGCGTTTGAGAGACAACCTCCTGACACACACACACGAGAGTGCATTCTGTGGACTCAATATACCAACACAGAGGCGAGCCGATCTGCTGGAAACCACAGAGAATTGAAAGACTGGAGCACACCCCCCCCTCTCTCTCTTTCTCACTCACTCTCGCTCTCTGTGTCCTCCTCTCTGTGAGCATTACAGCAAGGCATTGCGCAGGATTTAACAACCCTCCCCAACATCTCCCTCTTCTTTATTTTAATCTTTTTTTTTTTTTTCCTTCCTCCAATCCATCTCTCCTTCTGTGGCAGCCGTTGCTCTTGGCAGTGGAAGGATATATTCATTTCCATATTGGAGCGTTACGAGAGCTGCTATTTGCTCATTTCTCCCACAACCATGTGTGTGTGCGTGTGTGAGAGAGAGTGTGTGTGAGCTTTGGGGGGGGGGCGGACGCCGAGAAGGACGGCATCTAAAGACGGTGAGTGAAACACTGTTAACCTACTACACACGTACACACGCACACATTACAATTTGCCTTGATTATGATTACCATGTCTGTGCATGATGTTTGCTGAGGAATGTTTTTTATGAGACAGACTCATCAGCCTGTTGTTTTGGGTATAGAGCATGTGATGTCCAGTTTTTTTATATAGACACAAAGGAAATAATGTGTATGTGAGTGCAGGTGATGTGCTGGAATGCTGCTTTTGTGTGTATATAAGCATGTAGGAGTGAGATGGCATCTACAATATCCAATCCTGTGAACACTTGCATATATACACATTTACGGTAGGACTAAAAACATGTGTAATAGGTTTGTATGTCTTTATGCATACTGTATATGTGTTGCTTGAGTGAGCGTGTGTTTGTTTTTGCGAGCGTGTGTCTTTATTTGTGATTCTGCTCTTAATAATTTATCCCGTGGCCTCCGCGTCTTTGTTTCTAGCGGTTCTTCGCTCTGCCGTTGACTTCGATGGCCTTCTTTTGTGCGTGTGTGCATGAGAAAGAGAGAAAAGGGACCAGAAGGACTGGTTCAGGGGTGAATATCTAAAGGGCGTTTCTATTTACTTATGTGTTGCAAGTCTCAGTAACAACATACAACCTGTCACACACACGCATAGTTGACCTTGTGCATTCACAGGAAGTTAGTACGGCGTGGGGTGAGAACGAATGAAATATGTGCTGAACTGGACGTGGAGAGAGATGCTGCTAAAGTGAGAGACTATTACATCACGTGTGTGTGTGTGTGTGTGTGTGTGTGCGGGCTGCATGCTCGGGAGTCAAATGACACATCGCTTAACTAATTATCCTCTCTTCACACACACAAACTTGCATATTATCACACTCTCAAACTTGCATGTTCTAGAAAACGTAATGCATGGAAAATGTTCACATGTTGAGCAACTCCAAAAGGTGTTTGCAGAAACTCTCACTTGCGCGCACATACACACACACATACACACATGCAATATAACCTCTAAATGTCTGCACATTTTTCCACTGTGCCGTTTCGAATGACAGCCTGGTGAATTAGTGTTGCGTTGCGCAAATACGCACACACAGACACACACGCTGTGATGGATGTGGCAGGTGACAAGGCCGAAGTGTCACAGAAAGGGAGTCTAAGACAGCAGCAGCCATTTTACAGCAAACCGGCCTGGCGTAAACCGAAGCAACTTGTAACCTTGTGCTCAATGATCTGAGACACACACATTCACAGCATTGCGTTACACAACTAGTGTTACATAATGGTACGTCGTTATAATAATAATATTCCCGTCTCCGTCATGTGCTGTAAGTGTTTCAATGTCATATTACTGTATTGCAATTAACTAAATCGTGTCTGCAGTGCCAGTTCTACTATGGGTTTGTACCCTGGAGAGCTGTATTACAGTAAGCACTGCTCTATTGCAAATGGCTTTGTTATGGAGGAAAGTTCTGTTGCTCAGATGTTGCACTTTCATAGCTCAGGGGACTTAAAGGATACTTCAGTTATGTTTGATTTAGGTATCAAGTTTGTCTCTGATATTTCTCTTGAAATTCTATAGGAGAAATACAATTAGGAACAAATGAGACAATTGTTATCATACGACATAACTTTTATGTCAGCTAACCCCCTTTGACCTAAAATATGTACTTGAAGTTGACCCTGATATTTGAAAATAATATTTTAATAATTTAACAACACATCAAGTTTTATTTGATTGTTTTTGATTTTTTAATTATTTTTTTCTGTTTTTTATTATTTAATTCATTAGTTTCATTAGCTCATAAATCACTGGGCTTTGCTTGACATAATTTGATGAGAAATATTTGAGCTTGGCATCTCAGAGTTCAGCATCTTTAAAAAAAAAATCTGAGAACAGTTTGAGACATTGTCGGGATCTCTTCTGAAACTTCAGAGGAAACAGTTCTGAGATTACTGGAGTCTTTTTCACGATAAAAAAATGCGAGAAGCAGGAGATGTAAGCATAAGCCTCCATTTAATCTCATCTGAGAAAAAAATTTGAAATATTAACAGTATTACTAACTAATAAAATATTTAAATGAAATAAAAATCCTTTTAAACATTCAAAAGCTCACATTTGTGATTTTTCTTTCTCATAGGATATAATGTAATTGTATTGTCCATCACTGCACAGAACTGGAATATGTTAAATAGTCTAACTGATGATACAGTAGAATATTGAAAAGATTTGAGAAGCACAATGTTGCAATATTTGTGTTGAAAGTTAATTGCTCATTTGTTCTTTCCTAATTTAAGATGCTTAGACTACACACAGAAGGAATAAACCTAGAAAACCTGAAACCCAGAAAGTGAGCTGATTCGGAAAATAAGCCATGACATGACAGAGATACTGTTGTTACCAATATGTCAAGGTTTATTTGAGTTTCACCGCAGCTACTAAAGACACAAACCACACAGCTCACACACTAAGTCATCTATGCAGAGTCAGGCAGAAAACAAGAACTCACCTTTAAAAGTCATATTAAGTACAGAAAAAATTGACTACCCTTCAAACTCTCTCTGCAGTCTCGTCACTGGCCCCATATTGCTGCCTGTGGAGGCTGGCATCAGGGCCAGCTGATGCCACAGCAGATCTGAGGCAGCTGCAGTTGTAGAAGCGCAGACATGCAACTCAGCACTGCACCTACAGTGGGTCGCAGGAGGAGAGGAAATCCGGACAGCCAAGGTGAGCCCAACACACACACACACACATTCCCTCTTTTGAAGGGGCTGGGCTTCAAGGGGATTTAAGTACTGATTCCATTCATACCGTTTTAAATGTGCAAATAGTGACTATCAATGATCTAAATCAATTATTTACATGTTACCAGAACACAGACTGATGATGCATTTCAGGAAATGATCAGTTTTATTAATATGTTTGTGGGAAGAAAGGTGGTGTGTGTTGACGTATGTGTCCGTGTGGGTGTGTAGTGGTATAGAGTGCAGCAAACATCACCAGCTGCCCCAGCAACAGATGGATTAGGATGGCTTTAGTTAATGTGTGTCTGATTAAAGATCTGCATGAAGCAAAGCAGAAGCAACACACACACACAGAGTTCTGCTGCATTGTGACATACTACTGTATAGTGAAAATATTTATTTTCTGGTATAGCGTCAGACTTAAAATCTGTATTGTAAGTCAATACTTAGTCCATATAGCTTTCGTTTTTCTGGGAAACACAAAGCTTTTTGAAAGAATATCCTAGCCAGTCCTTTCAGTTTAATAAAAGTGAACGAGGAGCTCCAAAATGACAGAGCACCATAAAATGATCTTAAAAGACTTGCACACTCTTCAAAGACTTCTGAAGCCATAAGCTAGCTTTGTGTGAGGAAAAGCCTGTTCACTGATTATTCACTGATAATCTTGACATCCATACTAGCTCTACTTGATATGTTTATGAGAGATATGTGAATGAATCTGATCCTTTCAATTAATATGTTGATCCAGTTGTAAAATGTGTTTGAATGATACAATCAGAAATCTGACCGACATGGTAGTCGAAATGAATAGTGAATATAGTCTCACTACATTATGGCTTTAAAAGACTATAGAGAATAGAATATATAGTATTTAAGTCGTATGAACTAATTTTATGGTGCTTTTGTGTTATTTTGTTGTTTTAAAGCTGCAGACCCCTTTAAATTTTCAGTGCATGGAAAGAAGCAATCAGCACTGTCTTCAAATTTCCAAATTTCTTTAGTAATTTGCTTTATTTATTCTGGGAACTGGAGTCCTCCTGTTAAAATGAGCAAATCCTAAAAGCTAAGAAAAGAGGGACACTTCATAACATTGTAGTGTAGGCACAGAATAGACATTCATCCTATTTTAAACTAGGTCCACTCGCTAGGAGATTTCCTTCCTTGCCACTGACATACAGCCTTCTTTGTGGCTACAGAATTGTTCTGAACACATAGGGAACATGAACACAGAGAAAGAACATTGTGTTTCAATAACAGCAGTCATATGCCTATCCTGATGTGCTGACACACATTTGTTCTCAGCCGAACAGAAGGGATGAGAGAAAAAGGGGAACTTGTGCTGGAAAGAAGGGATATACTGGAAATTGAAGGTTGATGGCCAAAACAGCAATTCTAGAATCATTCACAACTACATAGTTTAGAAGGACGGGTTAATTATTGAGATTACACAGAATTGTGTGAGTGTGTATGAGAGAGTGTGTGGTTGTGATGATTGTATGTATCTCTGATTACAGAGGGATCAGGGTGTTGAGGCTGGTCAGGATCAGATATCTGAGTGCTGTAACTGCATCTGTCTGCACTCAAACTTCCAAACACACGCACACACACAATCAGCAATGAGACAACTGGGAACTCAACATTTAAAACCTTCATATCCATTGATAGCATGTGATTGTTTCACACACACAGAGAAACATTGCTCCCCACCCTCTTACACGGTTGCATAAAAGAGAGGTGACGAACAGTTGGCAAATGTTTGTTTTGTCATGGCAGAGCAGAGGACGTTCTTTGTTTAACTTTGAGGCACATTATATTCCCATCATACAACTGAAAAAATTCAGTTGAAATATTGAAAGTTTTGTGCGTTACGTTATTGACTTTCAGTAAATAGCAGGTAAAATTAGGGTATTTTCCTTAAACAAAGCAAGCATATGGCTTCGGAAGACTTTTGAATATAGCACATAAGTAATATAGACTTTTATAGAGTTTTTTTGGTACGTTTTTTTTTTGTGTGTCATTTTTGGAGCTTGACAGTTCCAGTCTCCATTGATAAAAAAAGCATTTTGAACTTTCTCAATATATCTTCTTTTGTGCGCTAAGCAGGAAACAAGTCATACAGTTTTGAAGTGACACGAAGGCAAGTAAATAATAACACGATTTTCATTTTGCGGAAAAATAACCCATAAAGAGTGCACCATAAACAAATCAAAACAAGTGAGTTTAAAAAAAAAATAGCCTGAAGGTGCTGCAACGGATAGCAGCTACTTTCAGCAACTGCAACAAAAATACTGCTGTCTAGAGGTCTGTTTTTACGATCACATAAGCTCCAGTTTAAAACAGTGTAGTGGGAGCAGCAGCTACAGATTCAGTTCTGTCGAGCACTGGTCCCCTTCATTAAATACTGTACATGTGATTCACAGTGGCACTAAATCAACACCTGTCACATCTTTCAGAACAATCAAAGCAGCTTTCAGGAGGAAATGGCTTATGTCAACTCTTTCAGACTCTTTCATGCACATCTGTTTTTTTCTTCTTTCACACAGGTCTAATAGGTGTGCTGAGTGTGTGTGCTACATTACTGCAGTTATGCGCTGGCTGTCCTTCAGAGTGTGTGTGTAACTCCCTGGAAGCTAACTGCAGTGGGCGGAGTCTAGTATCTGTGCCCGCACTCACTTTTCTCCCGGAGGGCACACATACCCTCCTTCTGGCCAATAACCAGGAAATGGCTTATGTCAACTCTTTCAGACTCTTTCATGCACATCTGTTTTTTTCTTCTTTCACACAGGTCTAATAGGTGTGCTGAGTGTGTGTGCTACATTACTGCAGTTATGCGCTGGCTGTCCTTCAGAGTGTGTGTGTAACTCCCTGGAAGCTAACTGCAGTGGGCGGAGTCTAGTATCTGTGCCCGCACTCACTTTTCTCCCGGAGGGCACACATACCCTCCTTCTGGCCATTAACGGCCTCTCCTCCCTTCCCGTCTCTGCCTTCGCCAACCTAAGCACCCTGGAGACACTCGACCTGTCCAATAACTATCTGGACAACCTGCCTTCCAGACTGTTCCATGAGCTGAGTAACCTGAGCGATTTGAGTTTGCGTAACAACAGCCTGACGGTTTTGGATCGCGAGTTATTTCGTGGTCTGACCCATCTGCGGAGACTGGATCTGTCTCTGAACGGCTTGGCTGCTGTGCCTCTGGGCCTGCTGGATGAGCTGCAAGGGCTGACCTGGCTCTCCTTGGCTGGGAACAGACTTCACGCCCTGGAGAGAGCCACATTTGAGCCTCTCACCAACCTTCAGCACCTGGAGCTGGGCATGAACCCCTGGGAGTGTGACTGCAACCTGAGAGACTTCAAACACTGGATGGAGTGGCTGATATATCGAGGTGAGGACGTGTGTGGGTGTTTTGATTCTCTACAGGTGTACAAACACATGCTTTGAGCAGTAAGCCACACGAGGCTGTGCATTACTGGGATTTTACCTTAAGTAAGAGGTGTTCTTTGGCACAGTCCAAAGCGGACTGCCTAAAACACCTTTAAAGTCACTATCTTCAGCGACATATTGTGCCTATAAAGCGGTGAAAAAAAGCTTTATTAAGCCTTTAAATAGATTGAGCTGTAAGCTAATGGTAAGTGCATGTACACCAGACATATTGTAGGACATGTACCAACTCTCTCCCTAATAATTTCCTGTCTATCTTTTGTCTACCACTGGCAACGAAATGTGGCAAAACCCCAAAAATCATTGTGAAACAGAGAAGCCTCTGCTTCTTATTCTCCATACTTCTCACTTTCCATTTTTCTCTGTCTTTCTCAATCCTTCTACTCTGAGTCAGAGAAACTCATTTCATTCTATTTCAGAGCAGCTTTGAGAGGGAGGGGGATTTGAAACAGACACGAGTGGCTGAGTCACAAAGCTTTTAATGTGTATGAGAAAGAGACTCCAGTCAAGGTGGGCTCTGACTCTCTTGGTCTGTTCCAAAACCTAGTGAGCTGCCTATGGAGGCAGCATTTTGAGGCATCATAGATGCGCTCTTGACATGAAGATAGGTATCTTACTTATGCCGCCTTCTGTATTGACAAAATTCAAAGGCAGCATTGCATGTTTATTTTCATGGAGATACCACAATAGAACAATTAAAAATGATATATTATTCAATACTAAATAAATAAATAAAATAAATAGATCAGTGTAACAAAAAAAACCGTGATTATTTTACCCAATTTTTGTGTGCGCCATGTACTTAATGCATGCTGGATTATTGCATAATTAGTTTGATGAGATGCCATTGTCAAACTACATTAAAATCAAGCAAGAGTGGACTATACTGTGCACAAAAAAAAAAGAATAAATAAAATAAAAATTGTGTGGCATGCGGAGTTGCTGTCTATATAGAGCACTCCAAATCAGTCACTCATGATGTTCCATGACAGTTAACATGCTGCCTTTGAAGGCAGCAGGCAGCATGGCGGCTTACTAGGTTTGGGAACAGAGCTTCTGTATGCATGTAAAGATTATTAATTATACACCAGCTCTTCCTCTCATACAAACACACGCAAATTGAAGAGGGCTGCTGACCCTACTAGCTGTGCGGTGCTATTTTGGAGGGCTTAAAGCAGCCATTTAAATTCATTAGAGGTGACTATTGTTTACCTCAGAGCAAAAAATTTTGATTTCTCTTTCTCTATTGCTTTCTGTCGTAGGCGGTAATGTCGATGCCGTTGAGTGTACACTTCCAAAGGACTTAAGGGGTCGTGACATCAGGGGTGTTCCTGTGGAGATGTTCAACTACTGTCTGCAATTGGAGGATGAGAATGGGGGCGGGGCTGGGAGCACAAAGGGTGGATCTCCACCATGTTTTCGAGGGACAGCCACTCCGTGGTCTGAAGGTGCAGTGGTGCGTACGGAGGCGGAGCTACCAGACTGTGTAAAGCAGCGTTATCGACCAGTCAGTGTTCGCAGGGCGATCGGTACAGTAGTGATCGCTGGTGTGGTCTGTGGAATCGTGTGTATTATGATGGTAGCTGCCGCAGCGTATGGCTGCATTTATGCGTCTCTAATGGCAAAATACCAGCGAGAGCTAAAGAAGAGGCAGCCATTGATGGGTGACGCAGAGGCAGAAGCCGACGCGGAGGAGAAACAGATCTCATCAGTTGCATAGGGGAATGGGGGAGAGGGGTCAGAGGTCAGAGGTCAGCCACAAATATAAAGAACACTTTACTGGTTGAGCTGCACATTTGATGATCATTTAGCTGACCAGCGGAAGATTTATCATCCCTGTTTTCTGTCTCTCTGTCCTTCCTGAGACCCTCTCTGACTCTCAGACTTACACTTTACTCAAACTCTAAACTTTGGCCTGTGACCTTTGACCTATTTGCCCCAGGACAAGAGGGACCACTCAGCACTTTAGAACTCCCCCACCCTCCTCCAATGTTGAGAGGATCTCAGCAGAGGATGTGTGGATGCAGCTGTTCACAGTTCTGAACCCTGATGTTTCTAGAGGATCATGTGCTGTCATTAGCATTAGCCTCTGTAGCAGCCTAACCATCAACCCAAACCTCCAAATCATAACTAATCCCAACCCCAATCCTAGACCTTTAACTCTAATCCCAACCTCTCAAACCTAATCCAAGCCCCCAACTCTAACCCTAACCCTTTATACTAACCCCAACCATAACCATCACCTCTAACACTGTCTACACCGGGTCGCACATGCAAGTGGCACATCACATCAAAAGCCAGTAACACTCATTATAATCAATACGGTCTACAATGGATGCCCCAATTTCTGACATACTACATGGGCTTTTTCTACTTCGACAAAAGGACAAATTGATTTGGAATGTTGACTTTAAGTGTTGACTCGTGTAAACAGCCTCAATCTTGTCAACCGATGTGCTTGGTGTAGACATGGTGTAATCCTAAACTTCCAACTATACTACCAAGCCTAACCTAAAACTTCCAGTTCTACTCCCAAACCTTAATCCTAAACATACAACACAAATTCCTACCCTTACCAAAAACCTCCGTCCTTAATCTAAGTCCCCAACCCCAAACCTCCAATTTTTGAAATATTCCCACCTTATTTATCAGCTATAATATATTCTATACAATGTGATGTGACCCCAGTTTTATGTGTTAAGTGTGAGGTTTGTCCTTTGTATTGTGTGAAAATAATTTGTGTTGATAACATTGTTTTGTTTGTTTACTATTTGCTGTTTCTCCATGTTCATCTCTAGAGGTCAGATGTGTTTTTGTAAGACTAGAAGAATCCAGCCCTGGTGTCTGTCGTGAAGTGTCTTGAAGTATCGTGAAGTGCTAATGTAGAGCAGGCTGAAGACTCTGTTGATGTTAGTGGAGGGGCTATTGGGGGAAGTCATGGCCTAATGGTTAGAGAGTCGGACTCGTAACCTAAAGGTTGCGGGTTCGAGTCTCCTACCGGCAGGGATTGTAGGTGGGGGGAGTGACTGTACAGCGCTCTCTCCCACCTTCAATACCACAACTGAGGTGCCCTTGAGCAAGGCACCGAACCCCCAACTGCTCCCCGGGCTCCGCAGCAAAAAAATGGCTGCCCACTGCTCCGGGTGTGTGTTCACGGTGTGTGTGTTCACTGCTGTGTGTGTGCACTTTGGATGGGATAAATGCAGAGCACTAATTCCGAGTATGGGTCACCATACTTGGCCACATGTCACGTCACTTTCACTATTGGAACTGTTAATTACACCTTGGTGGCTAAAGAAGCACATTGGCCCTATATGATAGCTGCCCTCAAAACAAAAACAGAAAGACAATAGCTCAGAAGGAAATAAGAAGGATAGTATAATAAGATATAAGCTATAAGAAGTATAGTATTTTCTGTGCAATATAAATCAATGTCTTTCTTGATCTGTTGTTTAATTCTGGACTAGTATGTCATAGCTGATTTAGTCTGATCTTTTCTCTTGGGCTGACGATGGAGGAGAATCGATTGCGCCTGTGTGATCAATCTTCTGCTTGTGGACCAATTTGCATAATCTTCTGAGGGCAGAAGTTGTTTAGACTAAATAATTCAGACACATTTGACTTGAGCTTTCAGAAGCCAACAGATATTATCAAAATAAGCTTTTATGCGGCAAATCAACCGCAGCGACTGGATGAAAAAGGGAAAGAAAGACTGTCAGAAACTAGCGGCACACTGTAACCAACATATTAATTTCCTCAGTATTACTGAAAATTTTGAATCAGAAAATAATGTTGCTAATAATGTCAAGAGTAACACCATCATTGGGTGTCTTGCACAATGCTGCCATCTATAGGAAGGATGTGCAGTAGGCACAAGGGTATGGAGCAAATATCACACCACCTCATCAGGATTTAGGAGATGCTCTTCCGTTGTAACTATAGCAACAGTCTTTCCCACACACTATTCATTACCAATGCAAATTACTGGTAAGGTTGCTGGCAAAAAGTTGTAAATCAAAAGTACAACTAATTTATGTGCGAATACCCACACCAGCAGTTAAGTGTCTAGGACTTTGTCTCTGTGTTCAGTGATATTTGCAGCCATATGCTGAGTATATATAAGTACAGATATACATTTATTCAAATGTATCTTGAATATATGTATATATTTTAATCTGTGTCTTACAAATTATTTATGAACAATAACTTGATTACAAAAATTGAGTATACTTTTCCGTGTTTCCTGTGCAAACTCCTTTTGTAGAGGAACTCTTAAAAATTCTCTGTCAGAGAATTCAGAGAAAACTCATGCATTATTAATGAGAGGAGTTTCGACTAATGGCTGCGGTCTCTCGTGCCATTACTGTTCATTTAGCTCTTATTTTATACAGCATGTGTCAAAGGCCTGTACTCTGCACGGGGCGACAAAACACATACCCTGTATGCTCTGTTATGAAAAAAAAAAGAAAAAAGACAAAAGCACTTTTGCCACCGGTGGACTAATACTTTCCTGTCAAATTGAACTTATTGCAAATATTCTCAAAAGGGAGCACATGCTTGTTTATTGACAATGTCAGCAATGCGCTTTATCTGAATATTAGCCGACAGAGCAGTTGTGATGTAATGTCAGTGAATATGAAGGGCGGTTTATGACTCAGCTGGGGTGTGTTTACTCTCTGTCCTGGCTTTACATTTAAGAGCAGGGACACCACACACTTCACTACGCACCCTCGCTAAATAAAGGCTTTGTAAATCCCAATTGATGGATGAGAGGAAAGGATTTGCCCATTTGACTGAGCTGAGAGCATCTTTAAGATCTTTATGAAGTTCTGGTTTAATTTCTTATAGCTTATTGATGTGACCCTTTGTTCACTTGACCTTTTTTCTAAGACTGATATGAGATCCTTCTTTATATTTTCGCTTGATAAAAATCCGTTTGAAATATGATTTGTGAGCTGTGATATAATTCTGTGTTAAAAATGAATAAAGAATGTATTTCCGTAAACGTTGAAGTGTAAGATTCACCAAGCACTCACACACAGTTTGCTCAAAGTAAAATAATGAAATATGAGTAGAATATTCTTTAGTTTTACACAAAATGGAGAAGGATCCGGATTTTAAATCTGAACTGGACGGAAAAACCAAGGAAGTCAAGTGTTAGCTGATTAGCATAGTCTAGTTAGCCCCTGCTGGTAGATAATAAAACTACACCATTACGGTGATATAATGCATCTTTTTCCATTGACTGACTTCTTTTTTTTTTTGCTTAAAAGCATGAAATTGATTAAAAAAAGATTTAAAAGAATGAGAATGCTAGCAGATAACTAAGTCCAACTTCCAATGACTTCCGGATCTTTTTCTTATATAAATGCATTAATACAAGTAATGAGTTTTGAGTGTCTTCATGAGTACAAAAGAAATAGCACAAGCAAAGGTCATGTTGAGGAAAAGAGGAGGTGAACTCCATACATGGTTGCACATCCATACATGGGCACATGTGCACACACACACTTAAAATGGACAAAGATAATAGCATCTCAATGGGCGGTTTTTCATCAGCACAGACTAATATAGAAGAAAAAAAAAAAGATAAGAATAACCGTACCTCCAGCAACTGCTGTCTTTTTGTTCACAGGGACTGTAACAGACGTGACAGCGATCACAAACCTGCTATTCACTGCAGGGAAAGAAAAATAAATACTGAGCACGATGCTCTTAGCAGGGTGTAAAGTCTCCTAGTCTGTATGATGTGAACTGCAGGGTGCAGGGTGCAGGCTACCTTGTGTGCTGTCCTCTATAGGGACGTAGTACAAAAAGCGTCCAGCTGGATTCTCTGCCGCATGCCGATACCAAACAGGGAAATGGTCCAGAGTAAAAATATTCTCCTTATCCGATGGAGATAAGAATTTTCTGCAATGAAACCATCAAAAAGAGATTAATATAAGTGAGCGTGTGTGTGTGTGTGTGTGTGTGTGTGTGTAGGTGTGTGTGTATATATATATATATATATATATATATATTACAAGTTACAGGTATTCAGATTCAACTACTATGGTCAGTGCCTTATTTACATTGATTATGCATATTAATATGATTAGCATCTGTTCATTGATTTATGTATAACCACATTAACTAAGGTTTATTCTCTTAATACCACATTATGTTTTACTGCCTGTTCCTCTTTATCTTCCCAGTGATGAGTGTATTTTAGAGTGCATACTGATGAAAGTGATATGAAGTGCTGTTGGAGTGGGTTGCCTTAAGAAAACCTATGACAATGCAGATGCAATTGAATCGTGACGCAGACAGCAGGAGCTCTTGATTAAAGATACTCACTTCGCCACACGTTTCTCTACGCCGACATATCTGATCATTCTCATGAGGCCGGAGCGTGTGCCCAGGAACGCAGTCTCCACACCCCCATCAATTCTGCACACGACGGAGGTGAGTTAAAAGAATGAGAAAGGTCATGGGCGAGCACGTAGTTGACTTATGAAACTTGTCTGTGACGCTGTGTGCGTGGGTGGGAAGTTTTACCCGGAGGCATTGAGCAGCAGTGCGGTCCAGTAGGCTTCCATAGGAGCTGTGACCACTGCGTCAAACAGAGTGTGCTGCAGAAGTCTTTCATCACCTGAAGAACAGAGAGAACAGAACTCAACTGCAGATATTATCATCATTATTGTGTTTAATTCCATAACAAAATGGTTATGCTGTATACAGAGAATACAATGTACAAAGATGTGAGATGATTTACAAGTGCAACTAATTGTTTAGCTCTGTTCCAGAACCTAGCAAGCAGCATCCGAACCTAAATGTAACCTTGTAAGTGGCCTGTATGAAAACTCTACATAGGCAACAAGTAGGGTTGGACGTTAGTATGTTGCTGAGACAACAGTGTGCTACTCTAATAAGCAAAGTACAAACAAATATTCTGTAAAATTATCATTTTTTAATTAAAATGACCAGTTATTTATATTTTACAGTAAACAATGAAATAGCCATTTATTTAATTTCACACAGCTCACTGGGTTTTGAACAGAGCGTTTATGTTGTGTTTGTTGCTTAAAGGGATAGTTCACCCAAAAATGAAAATTCTGTCATCATTTACTCACCCTCAAGTTGTTCCAAAACTGTATGAATTTCTTTCTTCTGTTAAGCACAAAGAATGTTGGTAACCAACCAGCTGCTGGTAGCCATTGAATTCCATAGTATGGTAAAAAAATACTATGAAAGTCAATAGCTACCATCAACTGTTTGCTTACCAAATCTTCTTTTTTTGCTCAACAGAAGAAAGAAACTCATGTAGGTTTGGAATAATTTGATCATGAGTAAATGATGAGACATTTTTCATTTTCAAGCACCTTGTTGGCTACTTTCTTGATAAAATGCTTTTGTTTTTGCTCATTTGTAATTGAACATGAATATAACAAAAATACAAGTAAAAAATTAAATACCAGGTTAAAACTTGTAGTCTAGTGTCTAAAAGCCTTTAGAGACAGAACTCACATTCCAGGTCTGGTTCTTTCCCTGTTAGGTACCGAATCACAGCCTGAAACTGTCAGTTTGCGATGATGTGGATCAATGTCAGTCTCACAGTATGTCCTGAAATATCAAAAACCATCAGATTAGAGTATATTACGTCATTTCAGATGTTAAAAACAGCCTAAAATGATCTTTAGCCTTCGATAACACCTACCATTCATTAGCAATAGTGACATCAGAAGCAGTCAGGTCATGCAGGCCTGTAGACAGAAAAAAAAAACAACACAGTTGAGAGGAATTGCAAACGGAAGGCAGTAAACAGAGGCAGGCAAATGATCTTTGTTTTGCAGGTACTAATCTGAAAATCTTTACCTTCTTCACCTGAAAACATCCTTCCCGTGACCTTTGATAAGTACAATTCCAAGACTGATAACAAAGACGCACAATGTAAATCCAGAAGAGTCACACTTAGCCGAGATTTTGATATATTTTATCACTACTCACCTGAATGGAGTTTCATTAATGGTAGTGTAAAAATATTCATTTTTCAGGAAAACAGCTCTCTTCTGAGAAGGGAACACATCAGTAGTCACAGCTAGGCAGGCACGTGCACAGGTAGGGCTCAACCTGTGCAGAGCACATGCCCTTTTTGTCCTTACACTCCGAAGTGCCCTTTTTTTTTAGTTTTTTTTTTGTTCTTCTTCAATAAATCAATGCTATTGGTCACCCTTTACGTCTGTCTGTCTGTTTTGCAAATATATTTAGCGAATGAAAGGTATTAAAAAGAGTTTGTGACTAAATCTTGTTGGATCCGCTCAAACTGTCAGTCAAACCTCATAACTCCACCCCCTGTCTTGACTGACTGAGTGCAGTGAACTGAAGTTCCACAGCAGAGCAGCTGAACGTCTTGCAAGGGTAAATAAATATCTTCTTGTTTGTATAAGTACAGCGTTGTCTTTACGCAAGAAACACTAGTATGTCTACTGTATAAAGGCTCATGTTTTATGCATTTGAGGTCTGAGACCGGACCTGCGGAGAGAGGGCATTTGCCATCTAAATTAGTCATAGCCAATAGCCTACACTTAAATAGCATTTGCATACAGTAGCATTTCATCTTTTATAAAATGACATTTTGGCCAAACGTATTTTACAACAGGAAAAACTGAGCGCCCATATAGCTACAACAAACTTTGTAACCTGTTGATCAAAACGTAATGTGATGCTGCCGTTTTAATGATGGACAAATTGCACATTTGCACACACATTCGCTGGTCAAAAACCCGGCCATAACTGCATTTGAGTTTGACACAAAGCGACTGAGTGTTCCTCGTCAGCTAGGTAAAATATATTTCTAAGAAAATTCTTCTTTGATTTATGATGGCTATCTGCTGATACACTTAATTTATTAACATTTAATCATATTATATATGGTCACACTCACAGCATGGTTAATGTTTACGATGTTAATATGCATGTATTTGCTAGCTAGCTAATTTTTGAATGTAGTATTCTATACTCTCCGCTTATCATTAAGATGTAACCAGTAAAAAAAGGGGGGGGTGCCCTTTTTCAGTTTCAGCACATGCCCCTCAAAAGGTCTGTGCACGGCCCTGCAGCTAGGTTATTATTATGAGATAAAAATGAATCCAACAAAAGTAAACTTACAAGAAGCGAATTAAAGGTCAAAATCAACTCACTCCTTTCTCTACTGTTGCTCTGACATCCAGAGAGAGTGTCCCACTTTCCCCTTTTACCATCGCTGTTCTCAACTAGAGGATCAAAACACACAAACACCGTGAAGCAACTGATCAAAAAAAATGGCGTGATGAGAGTGTGTGTATGTTTATTTGTATGTATGTGTGTGTTGTTCCACTTACTGCATCTCCTGTATCTTCCCACTCCACCTCTGACAGATCCACACTGTTATAGTTCGGCTTTGGCTTCAGCTTCTTACCATCTTTATACTAACACTAAGTATAGAAAACATCAACTTTAATGTGATACAAACTAATAACACAATGTAATCAGCTCTTATGGGAAGTATGTGTAGTTTAAGGTGTAAGATCTCTAAAGGGAATAGTGTGGAGCTCACCAGAGGTCGAAGGTCAGGATGAGAGAGTATATAGCCATTATTAGTGTTTAAGAATGCATAGCCGTGAACTCCCAGCTGAAACGGCAAGGGAAAGAAAGTCCAAACAAAATCACATTTATTATTGAGTCTGCAGTCCAAACAATCGGTAATCATCACTCTGTATGCAGTAATCTCCATGGATACAGCCTGCCTTCTGAATGAAAAGATTTTAGATGCGATCAGTGTTAGTGTAAACAGAGGACTGCACCTTGTATCGAGGAGCCATGAGATGAGCTCTTTCAAAGGGACATCAGTGCCAACCACACCAAGGAGGATCCCATGAGACAGCTACAGACGAGAAAGAAAGAAAAAATCTCTCAATTTTAATTCAATTTGACCACCACAACCTCAAAAACCAACAATATGTCAGGCAAATATATGTTATAACGTGTTGAGTTAATAAAAAAACGATTGAATTGTTTAACAAAAACTTTAAATATCAAAAACAACATCAAAAAATATCGAAAACACCTGTGAAGGACATTATCAGTTATTGATTAGTTCTGGCTGGTTATATAAGCACGTTATATAAACTCTTTTTCGTCAGTGGCGCTGACGTTACAGACCTTTTACATCACTCTTTTTAGGTACAAAAGTCAGGCTATACGTTAGAATTATAGCGGTATATATTCGACGAACATGTTAGGAGTGTTGTGTATTGCATATTTAATGTTTTCGTTGGATTATATTATATGAGAGTTTACGTTTTATAAGGGATTATTTGTAAGCAGGGATGTGACGAGCTTCCAGTATAATGTACAATATCCGAGAATCACGAACTCAGTGTAAAGTTAGTTTAACTGCAAAAACGCTATGTTAACATGTCAAAACTAATTAGTGGTGAGCATTTTAATTCATCCCAGTGATTCGAATCACTAAGAAGAGTCGTTCAGTTCGCTTTCTGCAACAGGAAGTGACTGTTTTCAGAGTTATGAGTGAATTTTTGAATTATTCAGGTAGCTGGTTCATTCAAATCAACGAGTTTATTTAAGTAATGGCTTTTATCAAGACAGCAACAGTAATAGCTTAGATAGTGTCCTTATGTCATTTTAATTGTGTATTTCATTTTTACACATTCATAATTCTTCCTGGCGCGCTCCTTGATGAATGAGACTGAATTACTTGAACTGAATGAAAGAGATTTTTTTGGTGGAGCCACATTTTGCCTTAATTTATTAAGCAGGTCAGGGAGGTCATTTCAGAGAGAGCTGAAGCTTTTAAGTTTGTTTTTGGCAACTCACTGTTTCTTCTTTCTTGCTGATCACAGGCATGGCCACAGAGGTCATCAACAGCAAGCTCTCGGCCTGTGTGTTAAAAAGCTGAAAGACGAGAGAGAGGAAGAGAGAGACAACACAGACTGAACTAATGGTAAATCCCGGCCAGGCCTGTGAAGTGGATAGCAACCTGAACAAGACCATAGAATACTACCATTAAGAGCAGGTGCTTGTCTGGTAGGTGGAATCAGTTTCTTACTGTTCTACCAAACAAAAGGCAAAATACAGTAACTACGCCAACACTGAAACTGGAATGGCTCCAGAGTTTATGGTTGAATTGATATCAACTTCCTGAGCGTGTGGAGCCAAACTCATCTGCCACAAGTCAGATCATAGTTTAAGAGACCTGATTTTCAAGACGTCTGTTGCCTTTGAAGAAACCTCTCCAGATTTCCACAGAATTCAAATCTTCAAAGAAGTCAAATTGTACACATTCAAATTTGCCCTCTTAGCTCCATGTTACACACTTACCATATTTAAATCCCCATAATCGAATTAATGCAGAAAATGTGAGTAGCACCTTTGTGAAAATTATTTAGCTTAAAACCCGCGTATCACATTAAATGTAAGACTTGTTAATCACCTGTCACAATATGCTGTTTTTACACTGTTTTTAACAAAACAAACAAAAAAATGCATTCATAAAGGATTCACAGCACATAACATCTAGACCTGTAAATGGAATTTGTGAGAATTCCTTTTGTTTTTGACTGAAAATCTACCAGACGTTTGATTAAATTAAAACCTTCACAGGCATCATAACGTCTAATTACAACTAAATTGTATCTAAAAAGGAACTTTTAGCAACTAAATTCTAAGAACATGTAAACTACTGCATTTAGGTGTACAGGATAATTTTTGATCTACTGCTCAGAACGAAAGAGTTTACCTCAGCTGTATTGGGTAGCTGGATTGGGATGACAGACATAATAATGTAACAGACATAATGAAATCACTTTCAGGTAATGAAATCACAATATGAGAGGTTCAAGATTAATGAAGGCAAAAATTATCAATATGAAGTTGCAATATGCAACATGACATTTGTGTACAGTACTGCCGTCTACAAAAGGAAAGAGAGTGAATGAGAAAAGGTAAGCAGCTCACCACACTGTCCATGTAAGCCTCTGTCCAAATGATGTCATGATCATGGTTGATGACCATTGGCCTGCTCAGCACATGAAGATATTCCATCACATTCTCCTGTACATCTGCCAGAGTAGAGATATGAGTGTAGTAACCTAATTACAAGCACACAAAAACCACAGTAATGAGAAAATGTGATTGATTGATTTATGTGTTACCAGTAGAGGGCATAGCTGTCACAATATTTAATTATAATTTTATTAGAGCAGCTTGTGGAAAGAACAGAAATATCAAGATTTTTTTTAAATTTTTTTTTTACATTGTCATTTCCAGGCTTGAAGAAGGCAGGTAAATTAATAAAATCTAAAAAGTCAAGGAAAGTTCTATTGTCAATATTATTTTGCATAGGTCTGTCAAACTGCCTTTTGTGATCAGTGTTGTTATTGTTAACTAAAACTATAAAAAATGGTAATTGAAATAATGTAAAATAATTCAAATTAAATTAGAATTAAAATAAAAGCTAAATATCAGATGAAAAACTAAGCTAATTAGAAAGGTTGGCAATAAAAAAAAATGAAAATAAATGTATTTAAAAATAAATGAAAGCTAAATAGAGGCATTTAAAAAAATTTTTTTTTACCAATAATACATTTAAAATGAAAACTAAAAATGTAAAAATAAAAGCTAATTCAAAATATGAATGAATGATAAAACAGTATATAAGTAATACTAGCTCAAATGGCCACTAACAAACACTTAAAGCCTTTCACAGTAATAATTCCTCAACTGGATAAGAGTGTGTGAAATCTCATCTACGTAATGTTCTGAGAGAAGGAAGTAATGAGAACACAATAAGAAGGTGACAGAGAGACTGAACATGACAGTAGTAGTCTGGTATACACACTAGCTTACTTGTGTTTATTTAACTTATTAATGTAACAGAACTACTCAGATTACATATACACAGCACAGTGATTACTCTAGCTGTTCAGATATAGGCACGTAACACAAGACAACTGGCCTGTACTTTGTGTTTGTTACTGCTAAATAGATGCAATAGCTGTAATAGCTTTAGTCCTGGCAGAAGGTGTTTGAGGAAACTGGGCAGATGCAGCAGTCAGTCACGGAAAGAAATCCAGATTAAAATCTTTCACCTTGACCCTTGACCCTTCTGCTCCTTGACCCTGAACTGCAGCCAAATCACTAATCTTGATGCCCCCTTGAGTTCTCGATGGTTAAGAGAGGTGAAAAACTTCTTTCGCAATCAGTAATCCAACGTTTGTCGCTGTTTTGAACTTATACTACCATGTCACATTTTTAAGATGTTGTGTCAGATTAAATATTTTAATTAATATTTAATAATATTTAATTAATACATTTTTTTAAATAATTTTTTTATAGTAAAATCCAAAGACTCACCAGTTGCGATTCCTGGCATCAAAAGTGACAACTCCATTTTCATCAGGTGTCCACTTGATACCTTTAAAAGTATATAATTGAATATGATTACTGTCTACTCTCCATGAGAGAGAGAAGGATTTCTGTGTTCATATGCGTGTAAGATCTGGAAAGCATGAGTTTATTGGTTTTGTTACTGTGTCAATAGTGTGATGACATGATGATGAATGAAAGAGAGGCAGAGAGAAGAGCCTGAGTCATTGTCACCACTAATCACACCTGTAATTCTGTGTCAATCAGACTCTCTGTCCTGTGTCTGAGTGAGCAGAAAGGCATGTTCAAATGTGTCATTTTTGTGTTGTATGTTAATAAGAATAATCACTGTGCTTTCATGCAGTAACCTGGAATGGTGCATTTAAAGGAGTAAGGCTGATGTGTGATGATTACCAGGGTAAAGTCTGAAAAATCCTGTTGAACTGCCGAAGTACTGCCACGTTAGTGTCGGGTCCTTCTCGAAGTTACTGGTAAATATGTCATTCAGCGCTTCTGACATAAACACCCCATTCAGAATATCAGGATCTGAGAGACAGAGAGAGATTTGCTTTATATATTTTCTAATCAGGTATGAAAATGGACCATTTAATTTCTGCGTCTTACCTTTGTTATAGACATTGGTGGGCACTTGTATGACACTTTGCTGGGTATTGACAGGCACTTTATTGAAGTGTTCATTCTCCTCCAGAGGAAATTCTCCCCCTAGCTCCACATTGTTCCCATCCTCATCCAATGTGTTAATCATCATGGAATTGTAGTAGTCAACCTGCAGAAGAACAAGCGCATTTGAATATAGACTGAGGGATGAACAGAAGATTGAGGGGATGGAAGAATGGATAGATAGCTTGCGTGGCGCAGCTGACACAGAACAGCATACGCTTTTTACGTTCAGTGGATACTCTCCAAAATGGCGCTAGGGTGACGCGGAGGAGACAAATCGTTGAATAAAGTCGTTTTTTTTTTTTCTTTTGCACACAAAAAGTATTCTCGTATAGCTTCGTAATATTATGGTTGAACCCCTGATGTCACATGGATTATTTTACTGATCTCCTTGCTACGTTTCTGGATGTTGATTGTGGTAATACCCTTGCTGTCTATGGGAGGGTCAGAGAGCTCTCAGATTCCATCAAAAATATCTTAATTTGTGTTCCGAAGATGAACGAAGTTCTTACGGATTTGGAACGACATGAGGGTGAGTAATTAATGACAGAATTTTAATTTTTGGGTGAACTATCCCTTTAAGATGAAAGAACGCCCACATATTCAGGTCAGATATAAACTGGTTGTTATATGTCTCTCTGGTAAGCAGATGGGTTGCTTGTAGGCTGGCACCGGGGCTATGGTTAACAGTACAAAGTAATTAGAGTGTAGAGTGAATTCAAACAGATGCCAGATAACTAGACTCAGCTTCATCTGACATTTACCAGCACTTAGTGATTTACGGATAAAACCTGCTTCCTCTGCAGATTATGGGTTATCGATTACGATATCAGAAATATCCCTGATTGATTTGATGTTAGGATTGAAATGAGGGGGTAAATTTTCATCTTTTACTGTCTCAATAGACAAACCTTCTGTAAGAGTTGAGCGCCTGAGTATGTTTGACAAGGCCAAAAGCTGTTTTCCAAAGGTATCGACCCACAGTTGAACCCTGTTCAGAACACAAAAAGCATTAGACATTACATCTTCCTTACATTTTATTTAAGCAATATCAAAGCCCGGTAGACAACAGAATGTGATCATGAGATTACTTTTAAGATATAAACAAGAAGTTAATATCATGTAAATGACATTTCAGACAATTATATGTCTGGGGGAGGGATGTTTTCATTCTAGAGAGCATTTGATTGGACACAAAAATCTGTAGTACAGCTTGAGTCATCGATTTGTTTTAGTCTAGGGTCAGCAAGATTTTTTTTTTTTAAACGAAATTAATACTTTTAATTAGCAAGGATGCATTACATTTATCAAAAGCTATAGTAAGACATGTATATTGTTATAAAAGATTTCAAAAAGATGCTGGTCTTCTGAACTTTACATTCTTTAAAAAATGTGTCATGGTTTCCACAAAAATATTAAGCTGTTTTCAACACTGCCAATAATAGGAAATATTTCTTGAGCACCAAATCAGCATATTAGAATGATTTCCAAAGGATCATGTGACACTGAAGATTGCAGTAATGACTGCTGAAAATTCAGCTTTGCACACATGAATATGAAAGTGATGGTTCTCAAAGTGGAGGATATCGGGCTGCCATCATCAGCTAATTGTGGATTGTTAAGGAAAAAGCAGGTTCACAATTTTCCTCTTTTGTACTGCCAGTGTGAATGCTAACGATTTTTTGAACGAATGGAGTGGAGGTTAAGCTTTGGCTTACAGTATTTTGGCTTTATACAAGGGGTGACAGGAGGTGTGCAGGTCATGACCTGCAAGCATTAAGGTGAGACTTGGAGACATACTGAAGTTATGCACAAGGAATCAGAGGAGCGCTATTAGTGGTTCATCTATTCGCTTTGAGTTTATTGTGAGATATTTATGTTGAATTTAGCAATTAAGGAGCCAAAAATGCTAAAGGTCTCTCTTACATTGTGCAGATTCTGTATTCTTGGGGTTGTTGGTATGTCAAGACAGTTAAACTTGTACAGAGATGAACTGAACTCACGTTTCAGGCGATATCCTCATCTGAGCTTGTGTTTGGATGGTCCAACTTGAAAACAGCACCCAGAGCAATGTGATGCTCCTCATCTTACCCATCAACCCCTGCTACGTGCATAAAACGTAGAAGACAGACAGTGTGTGGTAATCCCAGTCTGGTCTTGATATCAGATTGTGCCCAAAATACACTCCGGAAGCTTCAAAAGTGTGATTTTGGGTGACACAGAAAACTTCCCAGAATCCGGCTGCTCTCCCCATTCCTGATCATCCCCCCCTTGATGCTTACATCTCATCCTTCCATCATTCTCTTCATCAAGCTCTTTCTTCCTCAGAGTTTATATGAATCCTCTAAGAGTCCCAAAGATGATGTCTTCACTCGGACTGACTTGCCAGCTAGCCACTTTTGCAGTTCCGCCCGTCTTTCGGTTTCTCTCACCCTCATCTTATGTTCTACGCAGCTGGGAGGAACTGAAACCGAAGCAGATACACTCACACACTCACTTTGCCCTCCCCACTATGATAATCCACATGGATTACAATTCGCTCCCACAGTGGGAGAGAGAGACAGAGAGCGAGAGACGTAGAAGATGTAGGGTGGGTGAGGGGCAGATGTATAGGAATAGAGAGATAAAGTGAAAGAGAAAAGGGCTTCTGTGAGAGGATTATTAGTGTTTCTGGAAAGAAGGAAACTAAACCTTGCACCAACTTTCTCAAGCACATAGAGTTTATTTGGACACTGAAGTCATACTTAAAATGTATGAATGTCATCGCACAAGTGGAATCTGCACATAAACGATGCATAAATTATTTATTTTGAACAACTGGTCCCAAAGTGATTTTTAGACTATGTACACTACCAAAAATTTGGGGTCAGATTTTTATTTATTCATTTTTTTTTAATGTTTATGAAAGAAGTCCATTATTCTCACCAAGGCTGCATTTGTTTGATCAGAAACAGTAAAACACTATTTTGAAATGATTAAAATTTAAATTAAGTGTTTTATATTTGAATATATTTAAAAATGTCATTTATTCCTGTGATTGCAAAGCTGAATTTTCAGCAGTCATTACTCCAGACCTCAATGTCACATGATCCTTCAGAAATCATTCTAGTATGCTGATTTATTATCAGTGTTAAAACAGTTGTGCTGCTTAATATTTTTCTGTAAACTGATATTTTTCAATATTCTTTGATGAATAGATTTAAAGCATTTATTTGAAATAGAAATCTTTTGTAACATTATAAAACTTTACTGTCATTTTTGAATATAATGTCTACTGTTTTTCTTTAAAACAATCATCTATCCTCCAGTGAAATCTCATTTGATAATCGCTGAACTACATCATCCTGCTTTATTTTAAGCGCTATTAAAACAGTCCACATTCTTTTTCTCTAAAACATGCACACACTAGATTGTGAGTTCTTTTCCCACTGACCCACTAAGTGTAAATAACAGCTTCCATCCTCCAGACAGATACATACCTGTGCTGAGTGTGTGTTTGTGCTTGGAGATGTGAGCTGAGGATTTCAGTCTGACAATGAAGGCTGACACAGTGAAAGTTGTTACAGAATGACACATTGTATACTGCAAGAGAGGATGATTTTTAGCTTTATTGCAATTTTTTTTTGATGATTTTTAGGAATTGATACTTTTTTCAACAAGCATGCTTGTGTCAATGTGTCAATAAAGACAATTTCAATATTATAAAAGATTCTATTTAAAACTGTTCTTTTGAACTTTCAATTGCTCAATGAATTTCACAGTTTTCTCAAAAATATTAAAGGGATACTCCACCCCAAAATGAAAATTTTGTCATACTATGTACATGCTTGCTATAGAATCACACTGTTAGCTTAGCTACATGCTAATGTCAAACAGTTAAAATAAGTTTTGAGCTGAATCTACTTATATATGATCTAAATATTAGTCAGTACTGAAAAGTAGCAATAAAAAGTTCAATCTCATTAAAAATTTCATTAAAATCACAATGTTAGCGTAGCTACATTCTAATTCAAACAGAAATCAATCATGAGTTGCTGCCTATGTAGAACATTCCAAATGACTAAAATATAATTACATTTAACATATATTTGATTTATATTTTTATTCAATACTGAAAACTAGCGGCCTCCCGGTTTTCATCCAAAATATATTAAATTGTGTTCCGAAGAAGCTTTTAGGGGTTTGGAACGACATGGGTGTAAGTGATTAATGACAAAATGTTCATTTTGGGGTGGAGTATC